CAAGGCTTGTAACAATGCATACATATGGTGTTTATGTCTCCCAACTTAATCGATACTCTGAGTACGACTAATTTTTAAACCGAGGCAGGCTACTGAAAAATAAGTTAATATTACAGGGATTTCAACAATAACATTAAAAGTCAGCATTTCGTAAATTCGATGGTCGTTATAATGACCTTGTTAGCACATACAACATATCTTTGGGTCGTATTTTACTGTAGAATTTCATACCAATTGTTAGGCCTTTGTTTTTTGTACTAAATTTGAATACGGATTATTCCGTCTACCTGTTCAATACATTGGGCTCACGCCGCCTGTAATCGGTTGAAAAAAATATGCTTACTTCTCATAGGCGCCTGATCACGCCTCGGAATTTTCAGGGATCCATGTTTTTATGCTCTGTTCACAGATTTGTATTGTTTGTAGGTTTTTCGAGACCGATCACTGCTCTTTATTTCACCTATTTCATTCTATAGTTGTGAGTTAATGGGTTTTGAAAAATTGAATGTTATTTAGAAATTACTTCTTAAATTTTGTAAATATGCTTAATCGGTATACATCTACCCTGAGTTATATGGTTATGATGAACTTGCTATATATCCTCTGTGAGTGAATGTAAAAATTATAATTATATGAAATTTTGGGCAAGATTACTAAAAATGTAAAAAGACGAAAAAGTCTCATATATAGCTTTTGAGGTCCAATCTTGTTAGAATACTAGTAGATTAATAAGGGTTTGCTTAATTACATTCAAAAACCGTTTTTCATTCTCTACATTTTGTATTATCCAATCTTTTATACATAAAACCACATCCAATCCATCTAAAATATATGTTGTGTGTTTATAAGATCTGTGAGAATTTTTATAAAATATGACTTTTTCGTCTTTTTACATTTTTAGTAATCTTACCCAAAATTTCATTTCACATCGTAGATATGCATATTCTAACTCATTCAATTTCATTTAAGTTTTTTTTTAACCTTTGTAGGGGATGCTTACTCCTCCTAAGCACCTGATCCCACCTCTGAAATTTCCGGGCGTCCGTGTTTTGTCCTGTTCAAAGATTTGTATTGTTTATATATATATATATATATATATATATATATATATATATATATATATATATATATATATATATATATATATATATTGAGATCACTGTTCGTTAGCTTCACCTTTTTCATTGTATATGTAAAATTTGTGAATTTAGTACTACCGTCAGGATTTACAATTGACTCGACTCAAAATATAAGCTATGTCAATGTCGAAACAAAATAAATAAGCAAACGATGTTTAAAAAAATGGCAAAGGCTTTTTTTCTATTATTACGCTTTCCTATATGATTTGCATAATAAAACTAAAACATCAAAGGGTAAAAGAATGAAGTGACAACTAAACGTGATAAATTGTTCCAGAACTTCACGGTGCCGTAAAATAAAATATTTTTATTTCCTTATAATCTTGCTGAAAATCCTTTTTGCTTGACTATTATAATTTCAATACACATTTTCTTCATAAAGAAGTGTGCTAGACATCATAATTTAATGATTTCAGTTTGTAAAGAGGCATAAATAATATATGATCTTACATCAGATATTCACCAGTCTAAGTATGTATAAGTGAGTATGTTACACTTAAAAAAAACAAAACACACAATATCAAATTGATTTTCTTCATGGAAAAAGTGAAAAAGTTTGTCCAAAAGCGTTTTTTTTTCTTCTTTTTTTTAAAAAATAAAAATCAGTTAGACTTGCAAGATATGATCCTTTAAAGATATAAGCTGGCAAGCTATTGAATATAATCAAATTGAAAATTTTCATATTTTTTTCTGTTTTCTATTGCAAGGGTCGACATTGTTTGATTAAATACTAAGTTAAAAAAGCTACATATATACGAATTTCGCAAGGAAAAATATAGATCATAAAAATATCTATAATCATAGATCAATATTTGCTTGAAGAATAGTTGAAGGTAATTATCTATTCCTCACAATGAAAATTTATATTTCTGTATTTTACGATTTCAATAGTTGTGATAGTTTGTACGTAAAAACACAAATAATACCTGGCTTAAAGCGAGTATTGATTATAATTTCCTGTGAACACAGAGGTCACAAGAAGGTGAAAAATTAGTTTTATTATAAATTGTTCCTTTTGTGAGGTATTTCCATTATTTTAGGGAGAATGACAATAGAAAATGTGGACGTCAAGCTAACATCAACCCATGATTTATTTGATACTAGTGCATCAAAAATATATAATTTGGTTAGAACATTGACTCATTTTCTGTATTTTTGAGAGGGGAAACCTTCTTCAAAGATGAAGATAAAGAAATAAAAAGTGTTGATATTCGGAAATTAAACAAACTTGTGACCATCCTGTAACTTTTGGATGTGCTGTTCCTTTACATCAATCTTTAACTTTCAAAGCAGGAAAATTTTTAAAAAAAAAAATGTTGATTAAATAAACCAGTTATTGCATTGTTATGAGTCTCACTCCAAAATGAGGAAAAAGTTATCATTAACCTACTCTGCTCTTTTTGAAAGAAGTGCCTTTTGAAACATTCTTATTGTACACACAAGTACTCCGAAGTTGATATTAAAAAGATGCTTGAGTTTCTGATTGACCATATCTATGTCAATCTGTCGGAGTTCCCAGAGGTACAAATTGCGCCCCGTTATAGCAGACCTATTTTGTATTCGTATGAAGCAGAATGTATTCAAAAACTTCTACATGAAAAGAAGAAGTCTCTTGCAGTGGCCTTTAATTCAACATTAAGATACAGCGTATATCGACTACGTTTTATCAATTAACAATATGCATTTCATTATGTTGATTCGATATAAACTCGAAATAAATGATACCACAGAGTCTGACACTTCTGCAGTTTCATATATGGATACATTACTTATATTACTAGAAAAAGACGTTAATGGTAATCTAACAACTCATTATTTATATAGCAATATACCATTATCAACTGCATATGGAGTTTATGTCTCCTAGTAAATTCGATACCCAAGAGCATGCTCTACATGTACGTACTAACCAGGCCCGTAGCAACGGTTTCAAAAGTGTGTGGAGGGGGGGGGGGGCAACTTCCCCAAAAAATCTGACAAGCAAAAAGAAGAAAAAGAAAAAAATACTGACCAAAAGTGGGAAGGGGGGGGGGCAACTTCCCAACAATTATCTGAGTTATCTGACAAGCAAAAAGAATAGCTAATTAACTGTCCAAATCCTGAAATTTGCCAATGCTCGACCTTAAAACATCAAAAAGTGTGTACTATACTCGGAAAAAAATGTGGGGGCTGCCTCCTCCTACCCCCGTCTTCTACTGGCCTGCGAACAATTTCTAAAACTATCCAAGCTATTGACAAATAAATTGATGAAATAAGAATATCAACTGTCTCGTTTAAAGTCAACATTTCGCAAAATCTATGGTCGGTACATGACCTTGTCAGCAAATATAATAAAAGGAGATAACAAACAGTAATCAAGCTCAAAAGGCCATTGAAACAATACAAATCGGGAGCAGAGCAAACACGGACCTCTTAAAACATCAGAGGTGGGATCAGGTGCCATGAAGGAGTGATCATCCTCTGTCGACTGGTCACACTCGCAGTGTGATCGGGCAAACGGAAAATTCCGTAGACAATTCAGTGTTTCAATAATGGCAATTAGCATAAAAAACGTCAGTCAGCATCGACTTAATGATAGATTGTATTTGCTGACAAGGTCATTGTATAGACCAAATAACTTGCTAAATGATCACTTATGAGACTGTTGATTTCCTTGTTGCATCAACTTGATTGTCAATAGCTTGCCTCGTTTTAGAAAGTGTTTGTACGTGGAACATGCTCTTGAATCGAATCGGGAGATTTAAATCCCATATGCCGGTGATAAGAGTATATTACTGCATAAGTACGGGAAGTAGAAAAGTTTAAGTCAACAGGTTTATCATAAAGTTTTGTTGTTAGGTTACCATGTGTCATCAACATCTTTTTCTAGTAAAATATCCAAATATGAATCAGATGTATCAGACTCTGTGGTATCTTTTATTTTAAGTTCACTAGGATATATCGTGTGGACATATAAATGGAAAGGAACAATCTATCATTAAGTCGAATATCGTTAAAATTTTTAGGCCATTATTTTTATTTGAATTATCTACAGATTTTTTTTATCATGACAGGAATGCGGCCGGTCGCCGGAGAGTGCTTGCTCCTCCATGGCACCTGATCCCACCTCTGATGTTTTAGAGGTCCGTGTTTGCTCTCCTCCAAATTTATGTTGTTTCGGAATTTTAGCTTAATTATTGTTCGCTATTTATTCCACCCAATGCATCGATCCGATGTACCATGAAATGAAGAAAAAGTTGAAAAATGATCCCAGATTATTTTTCAATATTGAAAAGTAAAAATGGATCTGTGGAAATTTGACTCCATGTTAAAGTACGTACTGCATCGGCTGGTTATTTTTCTTACAAATCAAGGTGATATTTCCTAGCTTTATATAAATAAACTTTCGGAAAATTTTATATTTTTTAAAATGGATTCCTGATATAGTATGCTTTGCTTTGGGAAAAAAATGAGAATTACATGAAGTATGGAATTCTTATGAAATATTAAAATATACCTGCTTTGAAAATCGTTAAATTGCAGACTAGTTCCACCTGTTCTTCCAGTGGCATTAAAATATTGAAGAATAGCAAAATTAAGAAAGCCAGGACAAAATAGATTTTCTCAAAAAATTGATTACATTGCATTGTAAATACAAAATATTTATTGGCGAGTTCGACAATGTTGCAATATTGTATTACAAACAGTAGCGAAATATGTCAAATACATTATGTTTATCGTCTCATAAATATCCAATATCCACTGAATACATGTAAACACTCAAAGAGTGTTGATTGTTAGAAGAATCGAACACGTTTAGAAATGATCTTTTAAAACCCAACATAGATAGAACAGGACGGAGATCGATCTACAGGTACGTCGATGTGGTTGCCAGGCAACAAGAGGCGAAGTGAATCAATGGATTCTGCCTCACTATTAAATATATGAATAGCAGGTTCGTAACCGCAGAGGATATATTAATTCTGGGAGAAAGACGTTGAGCAAACATATTGGATTTTTTTGTCTTTGGTACGGGGAAGCTAACGTTCACGCACTTCATCCTAAAATGTCGGTGATTTTAACAGCCTGTAGAAAAAGTAAGCAAAATGCCATAGAGAAGGCTCTCAAGAAGAAAGCGGCCGATAAGTAAGTTCTATTTTTGTTTTCGTTTGAAAATATGAAGAATTCTCCCGACAGCAAAGCTCACGCGTGTTAATAATGTATGATATTTTTAAAACAATTTAACACGCCTGACAACTGCCCAGATTAATTTATTTTTCCGTCTTTGTTACTTATAAGAACAAGCTTCTGTTTTCGTAATCATTTAACCCATATATTCTGTAGCAAACAATCCTTAGGTTTAAGGCATTTTGCAGCCCATGTGAATCAAGGCAGGGAGCGATGCGGATTACAAACATATTAATTTTAAGAATAAATTCAAGGTTTCAGTATCTACTTATGATATGTACGGTGCTTCTTTGTAATTGACATAATTGAGAATTTAGAGTTATACGACGCCTACAACTTTTTGTTTTTGTGTGTCTTAGAATATAGTATATATGCAGTTAGTTATATCATAAATTGATACCAGGCACAGGAGTGTATTAGAACGGGATAGTAGTACAACCGTGGTATCGTCTTTTGACGCAGTACATAGAGAGACACAGATCAATTAGTGACAAAGTGTGTCATCATTACGCTTTGTGAGGTACTCCATTCTCAACACACGCACCAGAAGACCAGCCCTTCCCCTGCTTAAAACCAATGTTTGCTGAACTTGCACTACCTCGATCTGTTTGATAAATTATGAATATTATAGATACATGTATATCACTGAATTGTCTTTGCTAAGACAACAAAGAAGGGACTAAGAGAAATATTTTGACTGCCTTTGAAGAAATCGTGCATTGAGGCTCATCTTTTCCCCAATTTTTTATTTCATTACAGCATGTAGAAAATCGTGAATTTATAAGTGGCACACACATTTAAGGGCTTTATATAGTCTCATATGGCATTTAAAAAGTTCAGAAATTTATTATAAATGCGGAAAACTACAATATGGTATACTCTGAAATTATGGTTTATTTTCAAACCCATTATCAAATTTGTTGAAACTTTTCAATTTCTACGATATTTGATTATTTAACTTAGTATAAGGCAATTTCCTGGCAAATAACGTAACATTCATCTGTATTGCCTAAGCAGTTGGGTATATTTGGAAAGGGTTTGCAGTAATGAGCATGATATAGAACCACCCTTGCCTTTGGGGTGAAATGACAGGTAAAACTTCTACAACATGATTAAGCTACTAGCCTTCTGTCATGTTTTATGAGTTTTCTGTGGATGATTTCCAGATTTTCTGAATGCTTAAGGAAATCTTTACCCTTTTTTCTGGATTTTATGTTATCATTCTGGGTAATTTCTTAAATTTTGTCTCATTTTTAAAAACATTTATAATCTCTTTTAATACCACTCATGGATTTTTTTTTTATTTCATAGAAAGATATATATACTTTCTGCCTATAAAACCAACACGTGAACATGAGTACAAAAGTATCAAATGCATTCCTCGATGTAAAGGTAAATAGCCCAGTGCCCCTCATTTATTGCGTCAACATTTTACATGGCAACTTCAAAATTAGTAAAACTAAAAAAGCAAAGTTGTTCTACTCAGAGTGAAGCATTTTGGAAAAACCTCCTTTCTGTGTCTTGAAAATACTGCATCAACAAAAATTTTGCCGTAGTTTGAAACAGTTATTGTCTGTCCATTCAATTTGTTTTCACTCTCTATTAACATCTAGCAGTATTAAAATCACCATAGAATGAAAACATCTGTAGGTAAAATATTTACCCTAATCATGTGTGCAACCTGCAAACTCTAATTTGTAATGCCCCTGTAATTTTTTAAGCTTTTGGTCCTGACAATGAGTCGGCAGCCCTTTATACGTAATGGTAAATATCAAGAAATTACAAATTCTTACCATATTTTTCTTTAGAAAAAAATCAATGAAAGTCGCTTTATTTGTTGTCATAAATTAAAATTTAAAAATCAATTCAGGTTTATGTACGTTTATCACTTAAGAGAGGTGTTTGTACTGAAACTTCTTGGATAAGCCTAGTAAATGGGTGGAAATATTAAAACTGCATGTCGTAGCTCATTAAAGAGGTGGTAAAATTGAAACTGCGTGTAAAAGCTAAGTAAAATGGTGGTCATATTTAAATTGTTTGTTAAAGATAGGTAAAGTGGTGGTAATATTAAAACTTTGTTAAAGCTCGGTAAATTGGTGGTAATAATAAAACTGTTTGTAAAAGCTCGGTAAATTCATGGGCGGATACAGGATTTGTGATTAGGGGGGGGCGTGGATAACTTTGTTCAGGCAGGGGGTCTGGGGGCCGCCTTAAGGCCCCCAGTGGGTCCAGGGCGAACCCCTGGTGGGGGCCCAGGGGGCGAAGCCCCCGAAAGCTCCTGGGTTTTCGTGTATTTTAAGAGTAAAACCAGGCACAATAATAGGGGTATTGGTTAGTTTATATGTACCAAAGTTTGGCATTATTAATACTAGTCATATCATACTTTGAATAGAGGGGGCCCAGGGGGCGAAGCCCCCGGAAGCTCCTGGGTTTTCGTGTATTTTAAGAGTAAAACCAGGCACAAAAATAGGGGTATTGGTTAGTTAATATGTACCAAAGTTTGGCATTATTAATACTAGTCATATCATACTTTGAATAGAGGGGGCCCAGGGGGCGAAGCCCCCGGAAGCTCCTGGGTTTTCGTGTATTTTAAGAGTAAAACCAGGCACAAAAATAGCGGTATTGGTTAGTTATATACCAAAGTATGGCATTATTGATATTAGTCATATAGTCATATCATACTTTGAAAATTTTAGGGGGGGGGGGCGTGCGCCCCCCACGCCCCCCCCTTAAATCCGCCAGTGAAATTGGTGACCACATTGAAACTGAATGTAAAAGATCGTTAAAAAGGGGGTTAACTTGAAACTGCATGTTAAGCTTGGTAAAGTGGTGGTAATATTAAACTGCATTTAAAAGTAAAGTGGTGAAATATCAAACCGCATATAAAAGCTCGCTTCCGTGGATTCAGTTTAGTACAAAAGAAACGTGTTAGTTTTGGTGAAGATAGGGAATGTCTCTGAGAACTCAATCTTAAAGGTCTTTTTTTTGATTTTTTCAGTATCTAAGATATTTCTGATTACAATACCAATCTTACCAATTTTCTTTTAAATGTTTAATATTTTAGATATTGAATACAAGAAACACGTAATATCCAAAGAAATGGGTTTTTTTTTTCTCAATCCAGGTTTTTTAACCTGATAAAAATTTTGCCCTGTGTAATGAGTCTGCAAAAAATCAGTTAACAGTAATTGTCTCCCAAAGAATATAGCAACATGTACAGCTGATGAAAGCCAGGATTTGCATAAATCATATCACAATGCAAACACTTATCAAACAAAAATTTTTGGAGCTTTCCCGGAATTTGGCGGTTAATGACGTCAGTGTCGGAAGAGAAACTTAAGTTAATAAGCTTATCAAGAATTTTGCTTTTAGCAAACGAAGAATCATTAGAGAATTGTTCCACAGATTGCAGTTAATATCAAATTATACTGGCACGCTGTTCTTATTGCACTAAATAACATTGTGCAGCTTCGGCAGTCTGATGCACAACGTGTGTAGATCCATATGCTTTATGTCCTCGAAACTTTGCAGGATCGTTATTTGAATTTAATACAGATATAAAGAATCATTTGTAAATAAATGATTCTAATAATGTAATTCAACCAGATTATGTCAAGACGTGTTATACACCAAATATCCGCTTATTACCTAAAGGTGAAGGTCTCGTGGCAAAATCAATTAAATCCAGAGTCCCGTATTATATATTTATGTAAAGTAAAAGTCTTATCACTTACCAGATATTGATGACAATCAGGTATCAGCAAGAAACGAGTACCTGATTATCGATATCCATGTTTATAGCAGCTCAATGTGTAACTTAATGAAAATAAATTATGCATAGTATATAATTATATGTGTATAATGCTTGTACAATCATACGCTCTCTCTCTCTCTCTCTCTCTCTCAGGGAAGATGTGTTTTTGTTTTATCTCTTGACTAACATATTAAAAGGGGAATTATACATCAAAATAAGTCATCAAAATTCCTTTTTGCATTGAAAAAAAAAAACCTGAAACGAACGAGGAACACTGGTATTGATATTGAAGCAAAATTTCATTTAAAAACTTATTACTTTTTGCTATAATCCAGATCACTGCATATTTTCCTCACATTTTGAATATATTTATATATGCAGATTTTGTATCATATATGAAAAATAGTTTCAATTGAATACAAAGCCATAATATTTTAAACGAATGTGATCACCAAAATGCAGGAATACAAAATCCATATACATTCAAATAGTGAATTGTGCTAAAAATAAAAACTTTTCATTCGCTCTCTTTCAGAAAAGCCAAGCGTGAAGCAAAAGAAGCTCGAATGATGGCGTACCAAGCAGACCAAGGAATGCCATCGATGCATACCGAATGTCATGACACAACCACCTGGAATTTCATGATATCTGAGGAAACTTACAATATTTCGTTTAGTAAGATTTTAAATCTGTTCAAACAAACACATTCCCAATCATCAATTTACAACATACTTTCAGTTGTGTTTGTTCATTTTGGTCTTAGGTTAACGGCTGACCTTATATTTTGCTTTTATACTAATTTTGTCCCATTTCAGTTTTTCTCGTTTTCATTTAATATATAGTCTGTAACTTCACATCAGAATTTACATCATTGTTACCTTTAAGCTGCAATATCTTTACTTTGAAGCTAGTGACATCCAGTAATTATCTTCAAGTCACTCTATCAGTATATTTTTTAATTGTTTTTGCGGATTCGTATCGTTTACAGAATTTGTTCGTTAGTGTCACCTTTTTCATGCTACGTTAGGTGGTAATTCTGTTAAATATGCAGTGAATATTCAGTTCTCAAAATTGACTTTCATATTCTTCTTGCAATTGGATACCTCGGAGTGGCATATAAATTTAAAAAAAAAGGTTTTAAAATGCAAATTCTATTAAAATTTATTTACTAATCGGGATGGTGCAATGTTATAATACATGTATTTTTAAGTGCTGACAAATTGTCGAATTTGTTTTTTAATGAAAACTTTTGTTTTATTATGTTTTGGGAATTTTTTGAATTAGCATTATTTAATACTGTAGACATATATCTGGAACAAGATAATGATGATTCAACTTTATTTAAAAAAAATAAAAATAAAAAAATAAAAGAAGATTTTTTGACCCAAAAACGGGTGACTGATTATAATCTTTCCCACAAAATCGTTCTAAATGACTTTGACATGCATAACCTTTAGGTATGACCAGGAGCCAATGTTGTGAAGTGCATTCCAAACATGGTTTCCATTAATCTTTATCTCTTTGCCAAGTGATTTGGACTTTTGATATGTAACCTTGATTGATGATCATGAGATTTTAGTCACTGTCAATTAGATACGGAAGATCTGGTCCATTGAATCCAATGCCTCGATTGTGTTCCCTTTTTTAAAAAGGGACAAAAATTTGCGAAACAAAACCAAAACGGAAAGGTATCAACTTGTTGGGGGAGAAATAATTAATGAAGTTCAATTTGAAAACCTATATGACTTTATGTTACATAAAGGATTTGTCACAAGCTCATTTTTTTCCAAATATCAACATTTATTTTAAAATGTTTTTTCGTCATCTTTAAAGAACGTTTTCTTTTTTAAAAAAATATAAAAGAGCTCAAGTCATCATAGGTGCAGAAAACTTGAAAATAAGGTTTGCTTTCCAATGCCATTTGTACTAAAATGTTGGGGGAAAACCCACAAATAATGAGCAAATTCGGTTAAAATGAACTAATCTTTGACCTTCTTATACTTCTGGGTACGCAGCAAATCAATTCTGGCTTTAGACCAGTATTATTTGTGTTCTTAATTACAAACTGTCACAATTTTAACTACGATTTGCTTTTATTTTAAATAAATGGTCATACTAAGCCCTTAACGAACTTAGTCTATAAAAATACTACAAACCACAGTGATAGGCCTCTTAATCTTACGAAACAGAATTACATGTGTAAAATTTTATAGATAGAAAAGAGGATGCCCTTAAACTGACCTCCAAACAATGGTTAACGGCAAACATTTTTTGTGATCTATAATTTGTTCTTTGCATAAAGCATAGGTGCTAAATTAATGATAAATTGCCCGTTTAGTAAAATTGAACTTGTTTCTTTTTCTAGAATTTAGATACTGTTTGTCATGAAAATTTTCCCAGACATTCTAAAATTGACTCTTTTATTAAATAAAGCCATCAAAATGTTTCTTATTTGTTTTCAATTAGCAGATTTATTAGGGTAGACCGAGGTAGAATAATAAACTAAATTCGCATTAAGGCCATTTAAGGTTTGAATACATTGCTTAAAACTCGACAGCAAGATAAAGGAAGAGTTAATTTCGTTGATTACTGTGTTGTAATGTTTTTTTTTCCTGTTGAGGTAATAAATCTCCAGCTTAAAATATGTAAATCATAAACGTACAAGTCCGCCCTCAACAAACTCGTTCTATCTTTGTTACAAAGAATCCTGTGAAATCATATTTGTGTAGCAGATGTTAGAACCTATAAACGTCCTCCATATTGTTTTAACAAACTCTGTGAACTTCACTCGATATTCATTCAATAAAAAAAATGTAATTACCTTAGAGCACTGCGAATCACTGGGATGTAAAACATGCATTTTTTTTACCGTAAATATTCAGGAATTATATAGCTCTATCAAACCTTTTATGATTTTCTTTGGATTATAACTGTTAATTTACTTTTTAAGTGCTGTATTTTTCTTTTTTTTTATTTTTTCAATCTTCAAAACATGATTGCATGATTGACGAATACAATTTTGATATTCTGTTTATTTGTGTTGGGAAAGACTAAATGTCACAAGTAAGTATAATTTCACTTTCACTTTACACCCAGACTTGGCATTAATGGTTTGTTAGTATCATCGATTTTTTGAAAACTATGGTCTAGATTCTTTAATTGGATTCTTAAAGTAAATCATTTAAAATTCTTTAATTAACTCTAATGTTAAGATCCAATGACTGAGTAACCTTGAAAACAACTTGAGACCTATGTAATTTGACTTGATGCTGTGAAATTGTGTAATCTAAAATGCTTCTGTTGTTTAAGATATAAAAACCTGAATAGAATTATGAGCATATTTTTAAGTAAACTTATTGAATGCTGGCTTTATAGTGTTTACAGTAGAAGAAGTTTATGTAGAAAACGACCAGTGTGCATAACTGGTTATAACGAATTTCATTCTTTGAGAATACTGGTAGCACATATCAACCAGAACTTCTAAACTTAAGCGTTGTAGTCTACACTATTAAACTTAAATATTCTAAATCTTTGAATAAGTGTTAACCAGCGAAATGTCTTCATTACTTTAATTCAAAAAACTATTAGTTTATCATCAGGGAAATAGCGGGAAACAGTATCTAGAGAAAAGGTGGACATATTTATTGCTGGTTTACAGAAAATATGAAAAATATTAAAGGTTTTATTGTTTTGGAGGTTTAAAATGATGCCTTTGGATCTGGTTTATTAAATCATCATTTCATCTTTACAATTTATACACAGTTGAAAAGGTTTTTAGACTGAGTCCGTACAACATCTGAAATAATAACGAAGCCACTTAAAGTTTCGGATTTTCTTGATTATGAGCTAAGGCAAATGCCCTAAATTTTGCACGCATCACACTTCAAAATGATAACTGTATGGGGTATAAGAATCAATAGATGCTTATAAAGCACTTAATTTAAAAAATATATCTTTTAAATTTACCAAGTGGCAAGACAATCTACAAGATTCATACTCTCGAACAAGGCTTTTTTTTTTGTTATCCATAATTATCTTTCATGCGTAAAGAAAAGTAACGATGAAGGACGTGCTATTTTGGAAATAGATTTTTGAACGATACCGTGTAAGCACAAAATGTCGATCGATATAGTTCATTGTATAAACACGAAGCTTAATGTAAAATGTATTACTGGCGGCATGAGTGATTAGAATCCGAGTGTAGGATATTGGAATTCACTACATCTATTTACGCGGACAGTGATGCCATTCTCGTTATCATTGTTTGCAGATGCAAAGATACCGTATTTATGACTGAACTGGTTCATTATCCAGATTTGGACAAACAGAAAATCCTTTTTAATGATTTTACAGGCAGTGCGTTTTTTACCTTAAACTTTTTGTAGAGGAAAATCGAATCATATGATTTTGCTCATTGGCTTCCTGGACGTACAGATGATACACGTGATTTAAAAAAAAAAAAAAAAAAAAAAAAGAATGCAAATAAACTTATTGATTTTTTTTTCTTTTCAAATCAAGCTTTCGTAAATTCAAGCAGTTAAAATAAAACAGACTGTTTCTCTTTGTCTAAACGCCCACACATTGAACTTCGAGTTGAATTATATACATTGTATTAAAATGATGTTTTGTTGTATCATATGACGATTATATATTTCATATTTTTGTTTCGTAATATTCTATTGCTAACTTTTTTAGCTAAAAATATCAAAACTATTTCAGCAGTCTACATTGTTATAGCAAGTATTGTTGCCAAAAGTGAACAAAAATGTCTTTCAATAAGCCTCCCATTCAGATTTTTAAAACTCAAAATTGAATTTAATACATGCTCGAACTTTTCAACTGATTGTCTTTGAATAAGGTATCAAATATAGTGGATTGGGATCGATTAACACCATGCATAAAATATGTGTTATTGCCGGAAACAAACTCGTAGTCACGTTTTAATGAAACACAGACTGAAATTTTTATCTTTTTGTGAATACATATTTACTGCAATGGATTCTTATTTTTATTATGAAATGCCAGGAGGAAAAATGATAGGAGTACTTTTGTGATTATCTGCGGGTGATAATATTGATTCAATATGAGATGTCATAAAATGTGTCGTAAAAATGATCAATTGTGCTGCTTTCTTTATGGGACATCTTAAATATTGACCTGGCTTCTTTCTCCAAGAATTTTGTCATAACTGAAAAAAAAAATTGAAGCTTAATCATCCTAATAATTGTGAATTTATTAGATATTGCAAGTGATGCTATACTAAACACTATTTTGTATTGAGCTCCTTATAAAGTACAGTTTTAGAAATTTTATCTACTGAAAATTTTCGTTCAAAATGATTACAGTATATTAAAGCTATTGTTTTCCCCTCATTCTTGCAGTGTATTAAGTTTTGTTCTATGCTCTTTTCAAATGGACGTGAACTTCATAATATACAAAATAATGCTCAGCATATCATAATGAAGGTGAACACAGACAGGCTTCAACTAAAATATATAACACAGCGTGATAAAGAACCTTTTATTGATTTTCCCGACTAAAAAACAATGTTTCTTGGACCTTTTTAAAAATATAGACGCCTTTAAGTCTATTAATCTATTTCCATGCCGTGCTTAGGCAGTCAAATATTTGAATATTTTTAACCCTATGTTCGAAAAAAATAACTAAATAAACAA